CCTGAGCACCTATAATGGACCCGTGACAGGTTTTAATGACGGTGGAGATGTTACTGCACTCCCTGACTGAGCTACAGGTAATACAGATCATTTTGAGTTCTTTCAAAGTTTCTAGTAGAAATCTTGTCTCGCTCACAGACCAGTTTTGATTCTTTGACATGCTAATATTATTAGCATTAGCCAGGCGGAAATACGTGAGGTTGACAAAGGTCGCACACGCGCAGTCATGTCAGTTTTCCACGATCAGAAAAAAAAGAACAGATTAAGTGGTTACATGCACATTGTTCGGATTATAAATCGGCATAAACCACCCGTCTCATTCTGATTACAAATTCATTCAGATCAAGCTGAGTCAACAAAGAATAATCCGAATGGGGCGTTTACAGGACACATTTTTATTCCGAATGGCCGTTTAATCCGATTATGTCCATGTAAACATAGCTACTGTGTACTATCTTACGTTGAAAACCCACGCAAGAGTGAGTTTGCGAATGTCGAACCGCTACGTACCGAGGGACTACTGTATACGCCAAATAAACAAAACTCAAATATTTCTACATATTTTTAGGAATTTGTACACATGTAGCACTATCAAAATGTGTTTTAATAATTTTTTTTGCTAAGTAATTAATAGGGATGCACCGATCCACCTTTTTTCCGATCTGATACCAATATTCACAGTTAGTTGTCTACCGGTACCGATCCGATACCGATCTGAAAAACACTGTTGAATTAACAAAAATGGCTAAATCATGTCATCTGGACCCGTTTCTGAAACAGGTCCACATTACATGATTTAGCCATTTTTGTTGTCTACCTGGACGATTGAGCTTACAAACCCAGTGCTGAATTAACTTAAAACATTTGTTTTGTTAAACGCAGACATGCATGTACTGAATTACAAATTTATTGAAAGCTCTGCACCATAACAGCACATTTAAACACACCGAGAGCTTCACAAGCTCGGTCATAAATGTAAAAACAACACAACTTTAATTTGTTCAGTCAGTACATTAGAACGTGACGTCACTCAGAGCACAAAGCACAGAATTCTAGGGAATAGATCTGCTGAGTCATGGATCGCTCACATTGTCAGGGTGAATGAATTAATGAAAAAATACCCGATCCAGACGTTTTTTCGATATCTTTCCGATACTGGTATCGGATCGGTGCATCTCTAGTAATTAATTCTAATTACTTGACGTGCACATCTTCTAGCTTCCATCGCGGTGTTGCTGCAGCACCCTCTGCACCCTTACTTCCCACGGCCTTGCCGTAGCAGCATTCTGACGCAGTCTAAGAGCAGGTGTACTGAGCGTGGTGAGCAAGTAGGAGAACATGAAAAATGGCAGAGAAAAGTCTATTTAGTGGGAGCGTAACACGGTCATGAAGTTTTCCACACTGAAGAGGTCACAGCAGGGTCAGCACCTTGTGTAAAGCAGCGCTAAATATGCCCATTAGTCATTGAAAAACCATAATCGCTCTATGGCTAACAAACGTGACCTGCGTAGAAGTGTTATCAGAGGACAACCTCTCTGCATCCGCACCACAACATATCTCCACATCAGTTAATAATAAAGAAAGAAATCATAATTCTCATGGACTCTGGCAGAGGAATGGGTTAAGGCAGATGTTTCTGGCAGGTTTAAGAATCTCATGAAAAACAAACTCCTCTCAGGGAATACAGAGGTCTGAGCTCACGAGCTAAACGATGCATACCGGTAAGATTTCACCCCGATATAGAAGAGCAGACTAAATCGCAGCCAAAATAAACAAATACTGCAAAGTGAGGTCAGGGCTTGCGACGGTTGAATCCAAGAAGGAAAACTGACACAAGGAGCTTGTTTTTAATAAGACGAAAGGCTGACATGGCTGTAAAAAGCATGAACTGAGGAGAAAGTGCAAGGAGAAGCAGCTGTGGAGTAAACAAAATTACGTTCAACTGAAGCTGGAGTAAAGATTAAATAGAAAGGAGTTGATGAGGAGCAGCTGATAGGAACAGGGAACAGGTGTGGTCAGACACAGGAGCAGCAACTGACCGCAGAAAAAGACTGGGAGAATGAACTGGTGGAACAGAGAAACCCCGAGGAGCCGAACCAAACACAAGAATCACAACACAAAAAGAACAAACTTGATAACAAAGCATAGAAAAACCCAACAATACACACATAAATGATGAAAAAATAAAAAAATTAAAAAAATACAAATCCTGACATAATCATGAAAACTAAAAAGGCTAGTCTCCCTTCAACCATTAGAATTTTTTTTTTTTATCTATTCAAGTGTTTGGATCTAAAGAGCAAAAACATTTTATTTGCAGTTTAACTTGGTGCCTCATCTTTAATTTTGTTTTGTCATGATTGAAAACCAACTTATTTTAAATATAAAGCCAGTCTCTTTGTTCAAATCTTGAATTTGGATAAAACAATACACTAACTCAGGGGTCTCCAATTACCAGACCAAGGGCCAGAACTGGTTCATGGATCATTTGGTACCAGAACACGCGGAAATAATAAACTTTTTTTTTTTTAATCTATAAAAATACTTTTAGGGCACGGTGGCTCAGTTGGTAGAGCTGCCACCTCTCAGCAAGCAGGTCGCTGGATCAAATCCTTCCTGTGTGGAGTTTGCATGTTCTCTTCGTGCATGCGTGGATTTCCTCCCACAGTCCAAAAACATGCATGTTAGGCTGATTGGTAACTCTAAATTGTCCCTGAGTGAGAGAGTGAACGGTTGTTTGTCTCGTTTGTCTCTATGTGTCCCTGTGATGGACTGGAGACCTGTCCAGGGTGTCCCCCGCCTCTCGCACAGTGATGTCTGGATATGGGCACCAGTGACCCAAAAAGTAAGAAGCTGGTAAACGATGATGGATGGATGATTTTTAAATAGACTGATCTGCAGAGCATTTTATTGAAAAAGTGAGAATGTCCATTTGCACCTCTTTCTTGTCGCAATTATCTTTTAATGTACAAGCTAAAAAAATATTTACCCCAAAAATTATAACAAAACTTTTGCTGGAACATCCTTCCCCCCACCACTGTATGTGAAAGATATCTTATTTAAAACCTACCTTTGATGCAAAACAGATGAACGACCTCTGCTCTAGAAATAATTTAGACAAACCCCATAACCGAAAAGGTTTGTCTGTTTTTTTCTATCCTTGTTCTTTTGTTTTCTGCATGAGAACCAGGATTTACAAGTTGTTATAAGCTGCTGAAATAAACAAACGGCTATAATTCAGAGTGATGGGGCAGCATCCGGCTGGACAGATGGGGAAGGTTCAGCCCATTTAAATCTAAGAACAAAGCCAATCAAACAAATGGAAATCTGCGTTTTGGAAATCAGCTCCTTCTTCCAAAGATTTCCTCTGATGAAGGTGAATTGATGTGCACGTCTCTCACGTGCACTTCAACCTAACTGAACTGAAGAAAGCAGTCATCCAGATGAGAGTCGATGCTCAGGACAGGATTTAGGTGTGGGCCCCTGAAACTGTTGGAGCCCTATCATCACTTTTAATATAAAAGTGGTTAACGCTGAGGTTTCTGTCCACATTGAGCTGAGCGTCACTGACCCTAAGATTTTTAATGCAGCGCTCCCTAATGGTTTTTGAATCGTGGACCAGTTTCACACAAGAAAACGCTCCCACGGACCAGTTGAGCTGGTTTGCTCATGTGTGAGGAATAATTTAAATGAATTGCAGCGCAAGAAAGAAGGTGCAAATGGAAGTGGTTGTATTTGAAAATAAAACACCCCGCACACAAACGTCAGGGGTGCCACGAAAGCAGGGGGCAATGACTAGCACTATATATTTACTGCCCCCCCAACGGTCCTCCTCAGCTGATCTTATCCTTGACTCCAGGGCTTTTGTGTGGATTTTTTTTAATTTTGCTTTAGATATTTGAGATGAATAAAACTTAATAAACATCAAAAAGTAGGTTTGAATTCATTTTTAAACAAAACGCTTTATTTAAAAAAATCAATCAACAAAAAGCGGGTTGAAGATGAGCACATTTAAATAGTTTGAGTGATTGAGCTGTTCCTGACAAAAACTAAGTAGCCCTTTACCTTTACTCCCATATCACGCTTTATATGACAACAGCATCATTAACAAAAAATAATCAAATAACAAAACAATAAAATCTGTTAAGGCTTGTGGATTTGGTGTACCCAATCTTGTCAGGGGTGCCCATTTGGTCCCCCGTTAGAAAAATGTCTGGACGTGCCCATGCATATATACCATATAGTAATTTAAAGAGAAGTTTGTATTATTTAAATGTGAGCCGGTACCAAACAATATACAGGTCCTTAGCCCAGTTGTGGGATCCCTGCTTTAATTTAATGTTTGAACCCTGAAGACAAAAATAAAACATCTGGACCTGAAGTGAAGTTTTTGTATTAGAATTAGAAAAATTAGAAAGAGTTATTCGTTTTGTTCTGTTACTTGAAGATTATTATGACTGAACTAATTGTTTGAAAAAAGAGGCAGATATAATAAGATTTTTTTCTTCTTTCTGCTGCCTTTCATTTTAAATCTCTTGTATTTTTTATATAGTTATGGAATTGTTTCGTATTTTTAAAATGAATAAACTTTATACCATACCAAGTGTTCCTCCATTAAGACAAGATCAGTGGAAATAAGGTCAAATAGAGAGAATTAGAGCAAACTACACAACGAGCCCTGCAGAAATGCAAATATTCTCTCATGAGGTCTCCCACCAACAAAAGTGGGCCAGATGATCTGGCCCAGATCAGACTGGATTTGGGCTGAATCAAGAGAAATGAATCACCGTGAACTCTCCAAATGGCACGCGCATCAGTCCCGCTGCAGCGCATTGTCCCTGCGAGAGGAGGTGTCGGGATAAATCCATAAATCCGCTTGTTTTGTTTTGGTTGAGCCCGAAGAGGAGCAAACATCAGCGTGTGTGTGTGTGCGCGCGCGCGCGTGCATGTGAGCAGAGGCCATGAGAGATGCTGCGGTAACACAATGGGAAGTTACCCACCTTCATCCCGCGGCTGGGAGCGCAGATGACGGTGATTTCTCTCCCCCCCACCCCCTCCTCCCCACCCGGTCAGTCGGGCTGAGAGTCCTGGGCAGCCCCGCTCTCTCCCTCCTGGTTTTAAATCTCCTCTCTTGTTAGAAAAGACCCCGCTCCTCCTTCTCCTCCTCCTCCTCCTCTTCTTTCGCCCCGCTCTCCTCGGGTTCTTCTTTGTCGGGAGGGGTTGGGGGGGCTGGGTTCGGTGAGCTGTTCGGGGTTAGTCTCGGTCCATGCGGCGGCTCGGTTCGGCTCCATGTACTGAAAGGCAGGAGACGACAGGGAGCTCTCCCCGCCGCTCAGAAGTGGCCAATGCGCGCGCGCGCTTGCGCATATGACGCATGAGTGCGACTCGCTGCACGAGGGCATGCATGATCCAAAATATACGAGCAGAATACACACAGTTTTCAAGCCTTTTTACACATGTGCCCCGCCAAACTCCCCCCAGTGGCGGTGCCAGACACGTTTATAAGGGTGGCCAGACTGAGATCATTGTTTATACAGGGGTGGCCCAGAAAATTACGCCACCCCACCCCCCAAAAAATGGCCAGTTGCCTTAAATTTAGTTTTTCTTGGTCATTCCCTCATTTATTCACACTGGCAGTGACAGTGCCAGCCCAAGCCTCCATGGGGCCCTAAGCGAAATTTGTTTTGGGGCCCTCTATTTCTGTTAATAATGTGGATTACTGCAATCAACGATCAGATGATCAGATCATTCACCCACCTAACATAAACTCATTGCAACTCTGACAGCCCTGTTTACATTATCCTATATGTAAATGTAATCTATCCATCCATCCATTATCTTTTACCCACTTCTTCCATTTTGGGTCACGGGGGTCACCGGTGCCCATGTCCAGCAATCACTGTGTGAGGGACGAGGGACACCCTGGACAGGTCTCCAGTCCATCATAGGGCTACATAGAGACAAACAAGACAAACAGGCATTCACTCTCTCACTCACACCTAGAGACAATTTAGAGTTACCAATCAGCCTAACATGCATGTTTTTGGTCTGTGGGAGGAAACTGGAGTACCTGGAGAAAACCCACGCATGCACGGAGAGAACATGCAAACTCCACCCAGAAAGGCCCCCCGTTTGAACCAGGGACCTGCTCGCTGAGAGACAGCAGCTCTACCAGTTGTGCCACCGTGCTGCCCGTAAATGTCACCTAGTGGTACTAAAAGTAACAAAAGAAGAAAAAAAAAAACCCAGTATGCAAAGTATTTTGCAACAAATGTGTCATTTGATTTATGATTGTTGGTTCCAAAGAACTGCAACAGTAATGTTCAAAATAATTTGTAATGCAAGATCAACAACAAACAACTAATAAAATAACTTAGATGCATAAAAATAAAGTGTGCAAAAACAGACAAAATTAAATAAAATAAAAAAATAAAATATCACGGAAATAAATAATGTAAATGAACAATTACTTGAAACCACGTAAAATGATTAAAAAATAGAAATTTAAAGTTAAATAATTAGTTCTTAAAACTATGTAAATGTATGCAACAATTTGCAAAAGCTGAACTTAAAATATTAAATAGAGTCATATAGAAATCATTACTATTAAAAAAAAATTAATTCCACTTTGGGGCCCCCCTAGTGGCCCCTGGGCCCTAAGCAGCCGCTTATTTGCGAATGCCTTGGGCCGCCCCTGGGCAGTGACAACCAAGCAGAATTACATCACAATGACTCACACAATCTCCTTAATGTGTTCTGATAGTTGAAAATAATTTGTAACAGCTGTGAAAGTACTGTTTGTTTTTTAAATTGGTAAGAAATATCACTAGACATATACGATTCAGAAGACAAAGATCTTGCACAGGCACTTTTTTTTAAACTTATTTTTTATTGAAATTTTCTTAAAACAGTTGCAGTGTAGAAGTGCAATATACATATATTCTTAAACAATGGTTAACTTTCCAAAGTTCTCATTGTCCAGTTGTGACGGTGGTGCATTATTTCTATAATAAGTCAATTTTTCAAATTTTACATTAAACTGCACCTCTTGCAGTCAGTTTTCTCTAGGAGGAAAGACAAAAAGATCTCACATCTTAAGAAAGAATTACAAATACAAACTATTCATTTGTAGGCATTTATAACTGTTCATTTGATGAAATGAGGTCAGTTTGTCCTCCAGTAGTCCAAGGTTATAACAGCATATAAGGAATAGGTCAGGAAACCCAAGCCAACTCTAACTATAGGATTTATCAAAAAGGAAAGTCTTAAGCCCAGTCTTAAAACTGGACAAAGTGTCAGCCTCATGGACAGAAACTGGAAGTTGGTTCCACAAGAGAGGAGCCTGAAAACTGAAAGATCTAAAATCTTCCTCCCATTCTGCTTTTTGAAACGCTAGGAACCGCAAGTAAGCCTGCAGTCTGAGAGCAAAGTGCTCTGTTAGGAAAAAATGAAACAATACGATCTCGAATATAAGATGGAGCTAGGTTGTTGAGGGCTTTGTAAGTTAGAAGTAGGATTTTGAATTATATTCTGAATTTGACAGGGAGCCAGTGGAGAGAAGCTAAAACTGGAGAGATATGATCTCTCCCACTAACTCCAGTTAAGACTCTGGCAGCAGTATTTTGGATCAACTGAAGACTTTTTAAAGAAGTATTTGGACACCCAGATAACAAACCATTGCAATAGTCCAGTCTAGACGTGACAAATGCATGAAACAGTTTTTCTGCATCATTTTTAGATAAGATGTTTCTAATTTTAACGATATTACACAGCTGGAAGAAGGCAGTTCTAGTAACGTTTTTAATGTGGGGGATAAAAGACATGTCCTGATCAAAAATAACACCAAGATTTTTAACATTAGAGCTGGAGGCCAGATTAATGCCATCCAAGGAGGGAGAAAGACTGAAAAATTATTCCTAAGATGCTCAGATCCAAAAACTAAAACCTCCATCTTGTCTGAGTTTAAAAGCAGAAAATTACAGGTCATTCAGGTTTTTATGTCTTTAAGACATGCTTGTAGTCTAAGTAGCTGATTGGATTCGTTGGGTTTAATGGACAAATATAATTGTGTGTCATCAGCATAACAATGAAAATTTATCCCATGATGTTTAACTTTAATGGAAGCATGTACAAGGTAAAGAGTATTGGTCCAAGCACTGAACACTGAGGGACTCCATGACTAACTTTGATGTAAGAAGAAGATTAATTAAATTTACAAACTGGAATTTATCAGCTAAATATAATGTAATTCAATTTAGAGCCATTCCTGCAATCCCAATATCATATTCAAGCCTCTGTAGTACTTTGTACAATGTTGTGATCAACTGTATCAAATGCAGCACTGAGGTCTAACAGGACCAGTATAGACACAAGTTCATTGTCTGAGGCCATGAGAATATCATTAGTGACTTTTACTAGTGCTGTTTCTGTGCTATGATAAGCTCTAAACCCTAACTGAAACTATTCAAACAGATTATTTCTTTGTAGATGATCATGTAACTGACCAGCAACTATGTTCTCTATAATTTTTAGATGATCGTTAGATTAGATATAAGTCTGTTGTTTAGCATCCAAAGCTTCAACTACTTAATTAAAAACCTTTAGCGAAGCAGTCATTGTGCTATGGTGTTTCATGAAGCCAGATTATTACAGCAACATGAAGCCAGATTATTACAGCAACACAGTGTGTAAACTCTGCTGTATTTAACCAGAACTATAGAAAATTATGTAGATCTATTTTTAGTAACACAAACAACCGCACATTACCCACCATAGCATTAGCAGCCTATACTAATGGACGCAAGCTGCTCTAGTACATTACAAAACTGGCTATCATGAATGTAGCACAACCTCTGACTCATAGTAAAGTAATACCAGCACAGAATGAACGAAAGACTAGCAGTAAACTGAACTCTAACATTAATTACTTTAATTCATGAACGCACACTAGCATCTTCCATGCTGTGATTACATTCAGAGTGTGTCGTACCTGAAACAGTCCAAGTGGAGACCGTACTAATACTGGTTGTTCTCTCAGTCTTTCTGACACAGCAGCCCCCATCTATACTGTATATCTAGATAATTGTCCATAAATGGTAAATGGACTGTACTTATCTTAACAAGATACTTAAAGTGCTTTACAAGACAATCTGTGTCCTCATTTACCCATTCCTACAGCACTCTACTAGATCTATACAAAGACTAATCAGTGCTTTATCACATTCATACACTAATGGGATACATATCAGAAGCAATGAGGAGTTCAGTGTCTTGCCCAGGGACACTTCGGCATGTGACTGCTGGTGGAATCGAACCCCCAACTCTGACAACTGCTCCAACCACTCAGCCACAGCCACATGTCCACTACAGGTAACTGACCTGAGAAAACACAAAAATCGCCATAAGTCAGTCAGTTTTACAGCTATTAAGCTAACATTTGGTGTCGTAGTAGCTAAGAGTCATCACCAAAACACAATTTGAGCACAGATTGCACATCACCTGTGCTTGAAAAAATATATATCATTAAAGGCTGAAGGTGACATGTATTTTTTAAGTAATATTACTGTTTAATTTGTGATTAAGAATGATTATTGCTTGTTAGTCCTAAAATTGTGTGAATTACTACTTTTGTACATAGAATAAAAAAGGTGTTTCTTATTCTGCATATCTTTCCCAACTCCAGCAAACCTTGAAACCCACCTGCAACATGCATCAGGATACATATTTGATTGAGGTTGGGTATGAATGTAGCCACACACTGCAATGGGTGGTGTCCTATCCCCTTTATTAGAAACTGAACTACTAGTGTTGACCTAAGCAAGCACTTGGTGGTAAGAAAAGAAACACAGACAGAAGAAGATTTTTTTTATAAAAATAGAGCCTTTGTGTTCGCAGGCAAAATGATTTCATCACAGGGGAACTAAAGTCCTCCACCCACATCCTCATACACTGAGGGAATGACGTCCTCCGTGCAAAATGAGGCATTTCCTTGTCTGCGTATACATAGAAAGTATGTATATTGAAATAA